CCCACAGCGGCTCGAAGAGGTAGAAGATGTTGCCCTGCTGGTTGAAGAACTCACCCACGAAGGAAGAGCCAGTGCGGGTGGTAGCCATGAGGAGCACGTGGCGCCGAGGTCCAGAGGAGGCAGGTCCGGGCGGCTCCCTTTCCTCCTCCTCCCTCTCCCACTCCTCCCCTGTGGACTCCGCCCCTGGCTCCACACCCAGCTGCAGGCTGAGATTCCGCAGGCGGCTCTGTAGTTGGGAGAACGCTGAATCCAGCTCGCTGAGGGACAGGAGGGATGCGTTCTCGGCCAGGACCAGGGCCGGATCCGTGCCGTTTGCATCTGTCAGAGATTGGGGGATCTGCTTCAACTTGTCGGAGACCCTGTTGGGGACAAGGGGAAACCAGGGTTAGTGACTGTCTGAGTCCCTGTCCCTTGTGCCTAAGCAGTTCCCGGATCTGATCACTCAAAGCCTGTACCAGTTGAGTTTTTCCAGAAGCAGACTTTGAGGCAAGGATTTGAGTGTAAGTAGTTCATTTGGGACATGACCAAAGGAGGGAAGTGAGGCAGGGAGAAAAGGTCCGTGAAGGGGACAAGCAGCAGATGATGTAATGGTTATTGCTGGACTCCTATGTAGTCAACTGCAGTTCAAGTCCTGAACCCAGCCCGCTTAAAACGCATGCTAGGGGCTAGGTGCTAGGTACGTGTGCGTGCACGCCCAAAATCCTGAGAGGAGAATTGTGGCATGGGCATCCCCCCAGGGAGGTCATTTCTTGGTTTGAGTACCAGACCCGGTGGCTTAAACTCACGCCGGGCACATGTGCGTGCGTGCCCAAGATCCCAAGAAGAGAATGGAGAAGGGATTGCAGCATGGCCAGCCCTCCTAGGGGGTGATTTCTTGCTTTCTGTCTCTCTGTCTCTCTCTGTCTTTCTGGCGAGCTCACACGCCCTATAGCAAAAACTTCTCCAAAAAAAAAAGAAAAAAGAAGTCCATGAAGAATGTGCTGTCGTGGAGTGGGCTGCCCCTGTGAGCACGTGAAGCTCAGCCAACTGGGGACCTCTGAGAGCTGTTATTTCCTTGTACTTCTGGCTTGCCAGTGCTCAGGCAGGGAGAAAGCTCTCAGGTGCAGCATTGCAGGCCTTGCAGCAGGACCCAGTAGGCAGGGATTACAACAGTCTATGCCGAGGGATCCAGTGGAGCGAGTGCCTGCTGCC